TTCTAGCAAGTGACTGGACCGAGTGGTTACCAAAGAAGTAACAACTGGGCCGACTTGCTTCTGTTTTCCTATTTTTCGGGCAATAATTCTGTCTTCTGCAACTATCAGAGTTTGAGCAGAGAAAGGACTAGAACACAGACGAATTACAACTGGAGAACCGCTACCCATACAAACTCAAAATATGGAGATTTTTCTACAGTGCGAACTTTAAAAATTGGCATTGTTTTTTCCGCCTCAGGAGGCTAACCGCTATGTTGCTCTTTGTTATCCGTCATCCATCCTAGATATTCGTTTCGAGGAGGCAAGGTTGTCAGTTCTAGTCAGTTTTGTAGCAAATGATCAAATGAATTGTTGAAAGGACGCTCATCTTCTTTTACACTAGAAGATGCATAAATTTGAACGAGTTGCTGAATATTTCGATATACAGGTCGTTAACAAACCGGATGACACCGCGTTTAGGATTGAATTCGAGAATAGCCTACAGGTGCACACTGATAAGTTTTATACTGATCAGTGATTTAAAGATATCCGACTGGATATGTTACCGAGGTCGAGTATGCAATCCTTTGATATTATCCTCGTTTGTAATGCAGACTTAGTTGACATCTTCCATGTAGCTTCAGAATAGCTGGGGAAAGCTGGCCTCGCAACGCCCGGAACTGCACAGTTATGAGGAACGCATCAGACGAGGTAAAACCATGGAGGAAGTCGACCAGTTTAACTCTTTCGGCTCCGTCATCTTCATTGAAGGCACTATCGAGACAGAGTCAAATAGGAGGATTGCACTTGCATTCAGTGCTTTTATTAACCTCTTATATATCTGACCTGTGAAAAGAATACTCCAAAACAATTCGCTTGTCCTTTGCCTCCGCAATGTCATTGTCGCTGTCCCGCTTAGAGACAACTGTTCTAAAGAAGGAACAATAACGATGGTTGAACTGCGTATGGCAACGTTGATTTCGACGCCTAATGAGGATTAAGTTGCACTACCACGTACGAAATGACTACATTCTCCACGGGTGACCTCGGTAGACGTGGAGATTAAAAAATGGATGCCCTTGTTCGATAAACTGGCTGAACATAAACCATTTACTCCAGCCCAGGAGCTTCTCGTATGGGAGCTGAAACATGGCAAGCGTCGACCCTGAGACCAGCATGCTGCGTAGAGGAACATCATACAGGCAGCTATGGTTTTGTAGAGGAATTGTTTTTCAACGATTCATCAGCCGGTACCTTGCAGCAATTGCGTTGTAAAGCTGTGGATATTGCTGACACCGCAGATCAGAGGCTTTCAGATTATACACACGGTTGAGTGTTATGATTGCCGTAAATCTGATCAATCCGGTAATCACTGGATCGTTTAGGGGCGTATCGTCTCAACGAAAGAATTACAAAGAATGCATATGGTTTTGATCTATGATATTAGTGGACGTTTTTTTATCTTGTCTGAGTGTGTTTTTCTTTCCTGACCTATGAATTGTTTGTTTCCGATATGTGGAGCAGTTTTATACTGACATTCAAAGTTAATCTGGACACGCTTTGCAAACTTCGTGTATCAATCTGTTGTTTAAATTCATTGCTTTACTTATAGTAGGATACGCTTAGCTTCTAGCAATTCGTTTACAATTTTTTGGGCCATTGTGTGTAAGCGAATATGCGAACTATTTGGAAAAAGCGATTATTGGGAGAAGGAGAAGTTTTTAAAACATTCTTCCACTTAAAATTTTACTTCTATGGTCGAAACATTGGATTGTCTTGTGCGCAATGTAAAATATAAAGAAGAAAAAATGCTATGTTCTTTTGATCATTTGCCATGTCTCTACTTTCTCCCCTTTCTCTCTTTAGAATGTTCCAGTTATTTTGTTTTTGCTGCTTCCCAACTAGCAGTAAATAACCGTTTTACGAACTCCACACCATGTGCGTTTTCACCTGTCTGTCGTGTATTCAATAAGATTTACCACTTTTGCATGAATGACTCATTTTGATTTGCAGGTTGCCGTTGAACCAACGTAGGAACTACAAAAGCGTGTTTAACGCACTCTACCGAATTACGAGCGAAGAAGGTTTGCTGTCTTTGTGGAGGGTTTGTAGCTAAGAAACTCAATGTTTCATTAATGCGGATTGGTTTTAGGGTTGTAGAGCAACCGTATTCAGGGCGATGGTATTGAATGCGGGTCAGTTAGCGACATATTCGCAAGCCAAACAGTATCTTCTAAGTCAGCTTCGCTTCAAAGACGACGTAGCGTGCCACTTTCTTTCGAGCATGATCAGTGCATTTGCCGCAACCGTGATCAGTATGCCTGTGGATATCGGGAAAACCAGGTATGCCCTCTAAGCGCGTCGATATTTGCACTGTAATTGCTATCATTTATCGACTTTCTTTTATGCACTTTTAATGTGCGGTAACATCGATTATTTAGGATTCAAAATATGAAGATGGTCGACGGGATTCCCGAATACAAGAGCATGATCGTTCGTGATTTTAATGTGCAGCCTCTGACGGCGTTGTATCGATACATTTTTAGGACGTCTGGAAGAAAGTGGTCCGGTCTGACGGAGTGCTTGCATTATGGAAAGGATTCACACCGTATTTCATGAGACTCGGCCCTCATACCGTTCTCACGTTTGTGTTTCTGGAACAAATGAACGGATATTATAGGCACTGGCAGCGCGGCACGGTTCTTATTGTGTCCTAATAACGCTTATTCCGTGCTACTGTTCGTATCAGGGAATAATCGTTGATTCTGCATATGGCAGCTTCACCGGTGATTTTAAATTAAAATGCTAAAATTCAAATGTCCTTTTTTCATTGGATCAATGAAAGTTTAGTAATTGCATATATTTCCTGGAAAACGATTAACCTAATTATTTCTTTTCTTCATACTGCTTATTATCTAACCATTGAGTTTCCGTTTAAACTGTGGTGCATCGCTGCATCACCTTGCAAAATTGTCTAAGATACCATTTGACACGACTGTTGCGATTCTAATTTCAAAAATATGACAGGACACGACGAGCAGATTCTGATAGCGTTTTTGGATCTACTTTATAGTTTTAACCATCATACTCAAAAGGGTTCCGTTTGCGCCATTTTTTAATAAACTTTGTCGTTCTCTTAGCGTGTCGTGTTATTGAGGGCCCATCCATTTTCTGTTCAAGAGCAGTTGGGATATAAAGGGGGGCTCAAAGGAATTTGTAGTTTGATTGCAACTCCTTCGCTAGCCGTTTTATATGCTGTATAAAAATTCTTAAGCGTTGAACTACTCCCCCAAATGGTACACGTCCAACTGCACCCTGGTTTAGCGGGCTCTCCGTCAGGAAGATGGAGCTGATCTATATGACACATTTGAATCAGCAAATATATTTCCGGCGAAAGTTATGGTAATATCCGACTCCTTTAGCATAGCAAATTAATTTGGGATGAAGGTGATGTTAAAATTCAATTTGCGACAAGTTCCGTTATGAAACAGCTCGTAACCTCTCCATGAGCAATTAACAGTAAGCATGAATTTACAGTTGAAATAATGCGTTGGAGATGGCTCACGTTCAGCAGTAATTATAAGTTTCATTTTGTTCGTCGATCGTCATGATAACTGTCTATCTTTAATTCCTTGGCAGAACTGATTTGTAATTGCATCATAGAAATGTCAATTAAGAATTGGATGATATCGCACTTGGAGTAACGACCCTTCAACCTACAGCCACGACGGGTGTTATAGATACATGTATACATTCAGCTCGGCGACTTCTGAGAACCTTTGAACAATGCCCACAGCATGATTCAATTCACGTATGAATCGAAAGATAGAAAACTTAAGTTCATTTTTGAAATTTTTGTGTAGGAAAAGAAACACGCTAAAAAGTACCGTCTAAAGAGGCCTATCCACATAAATTACATGTATAGCGTCATACTGACACGTTACTCTCAAAAGTTATGACGTGCCCCAACTCCTACCCGATATTCAACAGCAGAACTGCGAATTGTGTAACATTTAACGATGACTGCTCAGGAATCTTCATTCGAGAACTGTTCTCAAAAGTAATATGGAAATTAGCTGACAGCAAACACCCAATTGTACATAAAAGTTTAGTAGAAACTCTCAACTGATGTTAACCTATCGCAGACATCGAAGGAATAAGTAAAAAAAATACAGTAATTCACGAAGAAATATGGAGCTAGGAAAGTATGTCGTTCACTAGTAAGCGGAGAGTCTTCGGATATATCTTCTGCAGTAAAGACATCCTACCGCAACGACTGTTTTAGTGGCGTTTATGATAATAGTGATAATGAGTAAAAAAAGTAGAGTGCTAGAACTTATGATCTGCACAAATGAAACACACGAGAAAGGTCCAGCATAGCACAGATTCATGAGGGATCGCGATGTCAAGTTTGACAGCAGGAAAAATATTTAAAAAAAATAGATAGAGAAAAAGGATGATAGTGAAAAACATCGCGGTAAACAACTCACTGCATGGTAAACAGTAAAATAAGCATACAGTCAACTTGGCCCGAGTACCGCTGTAGAGCCAATTGAAAACTAACATCTTGTGGTTTGACCTCTTCATGCTGGTTACCTAAAAATAAATCTGGTTTCGTACAGCAAATCACAAGCCCGTCTGCAATGCTCTTAATTTTAAGTGACAAAATACTGTTCAAATACGGCCAGTCATTCAAACAGGCAGTAAGCACGTAAAGGTTTGCCTTTCCTGCAGGTTACACACCATCACGAGATGTACTTTCGTTGCACGTGTTTCTTCGAATTAAACATTTTCAACTTCTCGTTAACCCTCTTAATTCACTTAACCATAAATTAAATATAAATACGTCATTAATTAAATGCGTTATTTAGGAAATTTGCTGAGAGAGTTGCTTGCGTATCGGGAGAAACTGCTTTAGGAAACAATCGGCACAAAATTCAATACGCTCTTTTGACGGGGTTTTCTTTCCAATAAAAGTTTAGATTTTCCCCAACGAAGTTCGAGTTTACATTGAAAACCTTGCATAATCCAACACCAAAAAATTACCATCCTGAAAAACAAGTCATTTGAATTCTGAGCTAGACATTGACTTTATGCACGCAAACTGCTTGAAGATTAGGTTTATCCGGCTTGTGCTAAATATGAATTTCATCTCCTCTTCAGGATGTTTACTTATCCTTGAAATCATGGATAGGGCTCACTTGCAAAATAGTCTCGTACGACATCGACTAGCTTTCTTGTGACTCCAGTTGCCGGACGTGCTGAATTGGTTTTCTGGACTCTGTGTATAACGGATGGTTAGAGCCCATCAGCCCTATAGTTGCAGTGATGATGGTTGATGCTATCCGCTCAATAACTTTGCTGATGCAAAAAATCAACAGAAAAGAAAAGTTTTGCCACCTTTGGAATGTCTGTCCATTGCTATCATAACTGGATTGTTTCCTCGCCCTTCCTTCCATGAAGTTTATGATACAGTGTTGATCTTCTATTCTTGCTATCAGCTAGGCGCGTTTTATTTTAAGCGCACAGTCTACAGTCAAATGGCAAGCGCAGTGTACAGTTTCCTGTTTCCTTCCCCACAGTGTCATTCATTTTTCAACTACGAAAGGAAAACGGATGAATAAATTAGCAGAGATACACGGGAAGTAATACAGTATTTTACTATGAGAATAGTAAGACCACTGAGCAAAAAACGGATGACATTCAGCAGCAAAGCAGCCGAACACGAAAGCGTGAACTTTCTTCCTCGCAGGTTGCACTGATGATCTCAACAACCTGAGCAAGGTAGTATGTTCATTTGTTTTGTGTTGTTGTGCATATGGAAGTTTAGCCTGAGCAAGAAACACAGCAACGTCCATTTCGCTTTTGGCATGACAATTCAATTTTCCATTAAGTAACTGATAGCTATATAATACTCACTGTCATTCAAAGCCTTTATTCTTAATAAACGCAGTTCGATATAAAATTAAACCTGCGCATCACATACTGAAACTTACCATGGTTCCTGCCTCATTCTTACGGCCGATAGGTTGCAACCGCAGGTACTAACTTTCCCATGGGTTTCAAATAGTGGCGAATTTTCAAAAAAATATTTCTCAGATTTTTCTGATCCTAAAATCCGTGCCGCAAAGCTTATCAGCATAGCAGCCGACCAGAACCATTCTAAAAACCTCCTGTAGTACCGGCCTCCGCGATTCAGATAAAATATCTATGTCTGAGAATGAATGCTTATTGGCGTTGCTGTGCTTACTGATTATGGACCTTCGATTCATGATTACTGTTAACAAAAATTTTACCTCGCGGCCCTGTCGTGGCGTTTAAATGACATCTTAATCAGTCATGTGACAGGGCAACTTTCGTAGCCTGTAATCGTTATTATAGCTGCGAATGTTTGTTATGAATCGAGAAGTGTACCACAAATGATGCGGCAGTGGTAGTCAGTGATGCCAAATCTGCTTATATCGTTATGAAACAAATTTGTCTAAGCAAAAGGGTTGTGCAGAGCTGGATTGATGATTAGACTTCGCTGTGAGTACTTATACAGGAAGTGAGCTTGATGAAATCTCATTTTCCTCAGTATGTCTTGTGAGCACAGAATGTAACATATCTGTTTTGCTTTTTAATCTGTTTGTTTTGTTTTTCAGTAATGAGTATAGTTAAACGAATGACGTGTGTATTGCCGAAGGTGAGCTCGTTCGTTTTCTTCCTGCTGTTCCTAGATACTGAAGAATTTCATTCTTTTTTTTTCGCTTTTTCTCCTTGACAGAACAAAAACATGACCGGAAATGTCAGATAGCTTGTGCTTGAGATCAAATCCCCTTACGCGGTATCATTAAAGCAAATGATATGTCATCAGAAGAAGATTCAAGATGAACGAAGTACTAGTTAAATCTTCATCTTCATCTTCCATCGCCGCTTCTCCTTCCGGGTCGCGGAGGCAGACGCGTCAGACAGTGC